TTCCTGTTGAATCTGCACACGTGGTCCAAATGAACTTGAGTCGCATATAGCAGATGTAGACACTGATACTCTATTTCTTTTGCTACTTTGGTTTAAACTTCTTTTTAGTCATGATTCAGGTAGTCACAGGGGTGAGCTGGGGAGGAAACTCAACCCCATTGGGCTGGATGAGATTGGAAGGGTATGGAGATGTGTGAGACGAGGATGCTGAAGGAAGGTGACTCACTGCACAGGAAGGTCATGGCGAAGGCTGAGTGCACAAAGCGCAGGGCAAAGATGGTCAGGGGTGATTTTAGCACTTGTCAACTTCATCAAACCTAACCAAAGTGGTAGCAAATCCAGAGGCAGTCATGAGTATGTGGTATCTGTTCATATATCACTGGCACCACTCAAGGTGGGAGGACAGCTTCCAGGAGATGGTGGCACTTCATTCACATCCACAGTCCACACAGGGATCAGGGTAGGGCCACCGTGTTAGAGCAGAACTGGAAGACCAGGCAGGAGAACTGTGCAGAGGCTGTGGGTTTAGGAGGTGAGACAGATGGGGCAGGTGGTGGCACCATACTGAGTGGTAGGGGCTAATCCCGAGCTTAGCTGGTACAACAAGTCAGGTATCAAACTAGGACCCTAAGAGTTTCGGCTCACCCTAGGGCTCTGGCTTGATTCCAAGACCATCAGACCCTGCTGCTGCTGACCATGTTTTATCTGATGAGACTCCCTCATAACAAGGCCAGCACCAGCCTGCTGCTGAGGGTCACCAGTGGGACCAACTACAGGAGCCGGAGAAAACACCACAAGGTGACAAAAGGGATGGCTGATACTTCTGGATGTGGGAGCACAGACAAAGGATTTCACCAGCTCTCAGGCCTGGACTAGCTTGGCTCCTTTCTCTCTTCTTTTTCCTTGTTTCCTAGTGGTTACATGGGCCACCTGTCACCTGGAGGCTCGAGTGTCTCTTGAGTGGTGATGTCTGTCAGAAGTGTAACTCCTCTGCTCATCACACACATAGCAGGTGTCCAACTTCCTCTGCTCATCACACACACAGCAGGTGTCAAACTTCCTCTGCTCATCACACACATAGCAGGTGTCCAACTTCCTCTGCTCATCACACACATAGCAGGTGTCAAACTTCCTCTGCTCATCACACACATAGCAGGTGTCAAACTTCCTCTGCTCATCACACACATAGCAGGTGTCAAACTTCCTCTGCTCATCACACACATAGCAGGTGTCAAACTTCCTCTGCTCATCACACACATAGCAGGTGTCAAACTTCCTCTGCTCATCACACACATAGCAGGTGTCAAACTTCCTCTGCTCATCACACACATAGCAGGTGTCAAACTTCCTCTGCTCATCACACACATAGCAGGTGTCAAACTTCCTCTGCTCATCACACACATAGCAGGTGTCGTGCCCTCAGGGGTCATTGCAGACCTGTCGGGGAAGATTGAGGTACTTTTCTGTGGATTTCTCTGGAGGTTTTTAGCTTATCTACTGACCCAAGGACAGCCATGCTAGTCACCTGTCCCACCTTCCACCCTACTCTCCCCTTCCCCGCAGCCCAACTTGGCTGCTGGTAGTCCATGTGGACTTTCTCTTCTCTTTTTTCTCTTCCCTCACCCCACCTCCAAATCCTCACACATACTTTGGAAGAACTGTGTCTTTCCTTCTAAGACCAGCCTGTAAACACTTCTTCCAAAAAGCCATTCCGTCTTCTTCCAGTGGAAATCGCCTTTCTTTCCTGCATGTTCTTGATACAGACTGTCGCTTCATCATCCTACTAATTACAATTGCTCTGAAGCCAAAGTTTAGTGAGCCTTTACAATGTTACTCATGTAACTGTTAGCATAATCTGTACTACAATGCTACGAACACTGGCTCCATTGTGCTAAGCTACTTACTACTATTTATCTCATTTCTTCCTCTCGACAGTTCTAGCAGGGGGGCACAGGCATCAACTCTCTTTTACAGATGAGGAAACGGAGGTTTAGAAATGAAGTGGGTGCAGATGTGGGGTTTCAACCCAGATCGTCCTCACTTGTTTACCTCACCGGCCTAAGATGTCACAGAATATAGGAAATGCATTTTTATAACATTCATAAATAGCTATTTATATCCACTAGAACACCCAGTGCTGCTGGTTTTGTGTGACACTATACCCTTGTTTCTGAATATGCATAAGTTTATTGGATTGTCTTCTTTGACTCATGTAAATGAAAAACATGCCGATATGGGAAAATACAGTGATCAATAGCTCCAGGGAAAATGTTTGCTTGTTTAAATTTAAAATGGACCATTTGGATCACAGGAAGCAAGGCTGCCTTTTGGATGTATGGGGCCGAGCAAAAGTTTGGGGGAGTTCTTACCTAGTTTAACAGTTTGAGTCATTCCAAATCAGCATGCCAGCTCTATTCTGGCAGCCCAACTGTGTACATTCTACTAAAGGAAAGCCATCATGGACCGTGGGAATACTCTGGTCCAAAGGGGACCTGGAGCCCACACGGGACCCATTTGGGCTCAGGTTGCTTCATCTACCTGCCCTGATCTGGCCTTACAGCCCCAGCCAGGGAGATGGGACTTAGAAATTATAGAGGAAGGCGCTCCAAAGCCCTGAGGGCCCTGGGTGGAGGCCAAGGCTGGATCCTGTTTATCTGGGTCTAAAGTGTGGTACCGATGGAAAATATAATAAGCAAATAATGAATAATGGTCAAGATAATTGCAATAGGAGCCTTGGTAAACATGCGCTAAACTCCATATTCAGTGTTTAAGAAATCTGAAGGTATCTTGGCGTTGTACACATTACTCTTGAGCTCTAAATTGAATCACTTTCTTGCTTTCTCACTTATAAGCTCTGTGATTGGATAAGCAACCGAGTTCTCTGAATCGGTTTCCTCAGGCATACAATGGGCAGCGATGGCACTCGGCCAGGGTCATGTACAAAAGTGCTATTACAATGATAATAGCCTGCATTTATTGAATTCTTATTGTGCGCCAGACACTATTCTAAATGCATTACATGGGTTAGCTCATTTACACCTCACAACAACCCTTTCAGCTGGGTTCAAAAGAACCCATTCTTTTTTTATAGATGAAAAATGAGGCATGGAGAGGTACCCCAGGTTGGACTGCGAATCCAATGCCAGAATCTAAGCACAAAACCTTCATGCCATGTCACCTGGCTCAGCTCTTCTCAACCCTGGCTGCGTGGTAGAGTTGTTGGAGGCATGTTAAAAAAAAGTACCTATAACTGGACATCGTCCCCTCCTCCAGAAATTCCAATTTAATTGGCATAGGCATTGATCCTTTTTACAGCTCCCCGGGAGATTCGCATGGCAGCCGGAGCTGAGCACTAATAAAGAAGAGGCTTGCAGTGAACTTGTGTTGAATCTCAATCAGGGTGACTCAACCTTGGCAACACCAAGTGAGTAAATGCGCCCCAGTGCTTTTCAAAGCCAAGTGCTTCACACATATAAGAAATTCGATGTGATGTTTATTAAGCTGGTACTTATCCAAATCTTCTGTGTTCATACTACTGACTAGAGAAACAGGTATGTACAGAGTATCACTTAAGCAGGCAGGAGCAGGGGTGGGAAGGGTGGGGGTAGACAGGGTGGAAGTGGTTTGATACAGTGGGGAGGAATATTTTTATAACTGATCATGTTAAGAATTGCCAGAGTGCCATGGCCGGTTCAGTTGGTTGGAGCATTGTCCCGTACATCAAAGGTTGCAGGTTCGATTCCTGGTCAAGGTGCATATGTAGGTTGTGGGTTTGATCCCCTGTTGGGGAATGTACGGGAGGCAAACAATTGATGTTTCTTTCTTGCATTGATGTTTCTCTCTCTCTAAAAATCAATAAAAACATATCCTTGGATTTAAAAAGAATTGCCAGAGTAATAATAAAAAGCAGACTGATGTTTGTTGGTTTTATTAATTACTATTTTGAAATTCTCTACACTCCCATCCTGCCCCGTTGCTATGCTACAATTTAGTATGTCACCATTGTTGCTTTTAAGATTATCATGAAAATTATAAATTAAATGTATATATAAAATATTTATCATCAGTATATATAAGTAATATATCCTACATATGTTAAACATATTTATACATGTTTATATAAACTTACCCATCTATTTATGCTAAATAGACAAATAGATGAATAAAGTTATATAAATAAAAATATGGCTCATAACAACCTTTTGAGAAAAGTATAATTATCTCCATTTTACAAATGAAGAACTTGAAACAGGGAATTTAAGTCACTTGTCCAATGCTAGCAAGCTAGTAATACGTAGAAAACATTTTTGTGTGTGATTTACCAACATTATTACTTTTAATTATTTCAGCATTCTTATGAAGAGATACTATTATTAGTTCTTAAAAAATTAAAGGCACAGGAGAAAGAGAAAAGGGGTCCAAGACAGGATGCCAATGATTTTTTTCTAGCTTCTCCCAACTGGGAAGTCGTTGAGCCTGAACTTAGCCTCAGATGGTCTTCCTCCTGCTCTGCTCCTGAGCCGGCGCCCTGCTGCCTCTCAATGTTCCATAGTCAAGGCCTAGACTCCAATTTTTTTCTCGGTATTTTGCTTCCTCTTCTTTATCCTTTTTTTCAACTTCTAGATCCCTATCTTTTGAAAAAATAAACTAGAAAATGTCACTAGTGTTGAATGCTGCTTTGGCATAAAGAATATTTTGACTAAAGGCAATTAAGAAGCAGATATGAGAAAAGCTCGCTGTCCTCCCCCTATTTCTCTAGGAGTAGATCATACATTTCCAAAGGTGTCCCTCCTCCCCTTTCTACCAGGAAGGACAAAAGTTAATTACCAGAGGAGACAACTTTAGACTCTTATCAGTGTGGAGATGGCACCAGAGGAATCTATATTACAAGGTGCTAACTAGCCTTCATCTACCATTAATTTCCCATATATTTACTTTTCCACAGTTTGTGGTTCTTGGAAGCCTGAAAACTCTTTCCTCTATTTTGTCATGTCTCTACAAATTTGTTTTTCGTTGAAGATGCTATAAAAGCCTGAATTCTAAGCCACCACTTTGAGTTACTCTTACCCGAGTTTCTCTCAAGTATATATGAGATACACATGTTAATAAGCTAGTTTGTTTTTCTCTGGTTAATCTGTCTTTTATTACAGAACCCCTACCATGAACCTAAGATAGGTAGAGGAAATTTTTTTTTCCTCCACTGCACAAAATAATACACATAGCTCATTGGATTCTTGTTTGACCTTATTGTCTAAGTACTTCTTGGTTCAACCCTGGGTACTCATTCAACATGTCTGAAATTGGAGTCATCCACTTCTGCATCTCCCTCTGTGCCAGGAGCCTGGTCACCTGCATCATCATCCACCAGCCTCTCACACTGGACTTCCACTTTCCACTGTTCTGCCTCCTCAGGAAGGAACGTGGCTACAGGGGGCATCCAAGCTCTCTCAGAATCCCACCCCATCTCACTGGGTCCTTCTTTGTGTGACCACAGTCCTAAATTCTGTCAAAAAGGGTTACAGTACTAGGAAGAATTTGAAACTAAATTTGGTGGCCATGTGACCTTGGAGAGGTTAGCACACCTTCCTCCTATAATCTTTCCCCTGTAAAATGAGGATAGTTCTGGAGGAGGGCTTGTGGTAGACAAGCATGACAGACAAGCAATCATAATTACAAGGGATACACGTTTTTTAAAAATATATAGTTTATTGATTTTTTACTGAGAGGAAGGGAGAGAGATAGAAACATCAATAAGAGAGAAACATCGACCAGCTGCCTCCTGCACACCTCCTACTGGGGATGTGCCTGCAACTAAGGTACATGCCCTTGACTGGAATTGAACCTGGAAGCTTTCGGTCCGCAGGCCGATGCTCCATCCACTGAGCCAAACCGGCTACGGCAAGGATACACTTTCTTGCAGGAGGGGGAGGGTGTGCTTATTATGCCGGTCTCCTTTCTAGATTCAGTGTGAAACAGAGGCCTGGAGTGGGAAGATCCTTTCTATTTGATCTATATTTATAATTAAAAAGTTAATATGGTCATTGGTATGGACTGAACCATTTCTCCCCAAAATTTATATGTTGAAGCCCTAACCCCCAGCATGACTGTATGTGGAGATAGGAACTTGGAAGAGGTGATTACGATTAAATGAGCTAATAAGGGTGGGGCTGTAATCCATTATGACTGGTGTCCTTGTAAGAAGATGGACAGATACCAGAAATGCACATGAAGATGCAGCCAGAAGGCGGCCATCTGCAAGCCAAGGAGAGAGGCCTCAGGAGAAAACAAACCTGTTGATTCCTTGATCTTGAACTTCCAGTCCCCCAAACTGTGAAAAAATAAATTTCTGTTGTTTAAGCCACACAGTCTGTGGTATTTTGCTATGGCAGACCGAGCAAATGAATCCAATCACCTTTGAACTATGAAACCTAATCAAAGATGATTGTTTCTGAGTGCGTTCATTCCATTTCGGCTGGGCAGAAGTATGTATAAGAGGAACATTCAAGGCTGGACTTGGCCATTCCCAAAGTGATTCTCATGATTTCATTATAAAAAGGAAATAATGACCTTAATTTGCATGCAAAGAATTTTATCACTAATGACCCGAGCTGCATAAACAACTTTCATCTTTCTTTCTGGGGAAAAAAGCAGTTTTCTCTTTGTTCACCATTCTGGTCTTTTGTGTTTTTTAAGGGACCTGATCCTCTAAAGAGACTTTGCTGTTTGTCCCAATTTTGTTTTTGTTATTATACCTCTTTGCCAGACACAAATACTCAGTTTATGCCATTCTCTCCCTCTTCATTGGACCTGGCATTGAGTGACAGATTAAATACTCTTAAATTAACATCAATGATGAATTTCCCTCAGATGGCACTTGTACATAAAAAGACTTCCATTAAGCAAATGTTATGTCATCAAGAAACCCATCAATAGCTCTTCCAGTGATCATAGCTGTGTCATTTTTCTCATCACTGTTAATAACCAGCAAAGTTATAATTGCATCTGGAGCTTAATTAAACTCTATCCTGTTAATGAGTGCCCATGCTTCAGATCTCCCATCAAATGGTCTGCAAAATTTAGACCATATTTCTTGAGGGCCAGGTTCTTAGAAGACATGAGAAGGTATGGACAGAAAACAGGTTGGATAATGAAATTCAATATTCTGCAATGACTAGTCATTGGATATTAAAGGTGAGAGTGGCCTAATACATTATTTAAAATTCCAGTATTTTAAGCTTTTTTAAAAATAAATTTTAATTTTCAATTACAGTTGACATTCAATATTATTTTATATTAGTTTCAGGTGTACAGAATAGTGGTTAGATTATAGTAATTTTTATTTTACATATTTGTATCTTTTACATATAATATAAATAATAAAGAAAAAAAATGCCTATCTCTTAGGTTTACTTGCAAAGTACAATCTCCTTAGTAAATCTATTCTTTCCATTTTTACATCTCATACTCTCTGCTCATATACATATTGTGGCACAGAGTAGCCAGGTGCTCACTAGACCCACCCTGTTTCTCCTGAGCTCTCACCTACATTATTTCTGCCAGCTCCCTTCATCTAGGGTCAGCAGGGGCCATGAACTTGTTCTTGCCAATGTCCTTGAGCAGAAGCTCTGTTCAAGGTTAAGAGGTGGTGGTCTCCTTTTTCCACCTCCCAGTTCCTTCCTCTGCCTTTCAGATGAGATGGATGCAGGAGATGAGGCCCTGGTTGGAAAGATCCTGGCTCCCTAATTCACTGTGTTAGCTGTGTGGAGCTGAGACCACCCATCTGCGTGTTGACCTAAATTAGACTGTGATGTGAGTGAAAATTAAACTTTACTAATTTCAACTGCTGAGGTTTTGAGATTATTTTTGTAACACTTAGCCTTTCCTCATATATATATATATATATCTTACCAAATTCCATAGGTAGTTATAACTTTTTTACTTAAAAATGGACATTGTTGTATATAGAATTTCTACCTATCATATAGTCTTCCGTGTGACACAGAGTTATGATTTTAATGTGTAAATAATATTCCATGTTAAGTGATGTGCCAAATTACCCATCACTATTTGTAAAATATTGTACAGATCATTTCCTGTATTTCCCTCATTCCTATAACATGATTTCTTAGAATTATGTTAGCAAATTGTTTTTTTATAGTAATGTATCAGTTTACATTGCCCCTAGCTGATATAAGGGTACAAGTTATAGTCAACCTTTCTAAAGTTGAGAATTTATTTTTTCTTTTATAATTTACTTGGAGTTAAATAATACTTTATATGTAAATACATTATATATATGAACTTTACATATATAAACACAGTATATTTGAACTCTTTATATGTACTCTGTACTTTATATAACCACACACATACACACACACACACACACTCTTTAATGACAAGTGAATTTATATTTTCCAAATATGTTTTCTCACACATGGAGAATTTAATTCTGCCCATTGCACACAACCCTGCACATGGCCCTTCAATGTAACAGATGACACAACTGAGAGTTGAAGTGATTAGTGAGGGAGATAATGTTAAGATAATGACTGAGTATCAGAATACAAGCCTTATAATTTAAATACAGGGAATTTTCTATTATAGCAAGACTACCATATTTATGAAATATAGCATGTCATTCTGGGCCTGTGACTGTCATCTTGGAAAGAATGACCATGACATAAATAAAACATGTATCTCACCCTATATCATTCCCTTTCACTTAATAGACAATATGAATTCAATAAAAGTCTACAGGAATTCAGTGGTGCATAGTCTAGGAAGCTCAGATATCATTGTCAAGCTCACCTCAGCCATGGATAGAGACAAGCACAACAGCATTTAACAGCCTCTTAAGTTTTGTCCATATGAGATAGGGATGAAGGAATTTGAGAGGAATGATTTAGTATGAGTTATTTAATAATTTAGTATTTGAAATGTCAGGAAAAGGGGCACAGGCATATGATATTTGAGCAGTAGTAAGTCATCCTGAGCAGGGTTTACCTGTAAGAGAAGCAGGAGATAATGCAGAAAAGACAAGTTAGAACTGGTGCAACTCAATTCAATCAGCAAGTATCAAGTTCCTATTGTGTGCCAGGAACTGCCATTGGTACTGGGTTGATGAAAGGCAAATCAGATAAAGGTCTTGCTTGAGCTCTTAATCAAATGAGGAAGAATATAGTTTAATGAAGAAGTCAAGAGACTCTGTAATTATTCTGGAGTGTGAGACTCAACTCTGCATTTTGTGAGCTTGGACAAGATACCTCAGTGTAATTTTCCTCACCTGTAATTTTGGGATAACTAGAGTACACAGGTTGGTTTGGAAGCAAACCTGAGATTATGCCTGAAAAGATTTTAATGCACTGTCTCAGGTATAGTGTGCCCACTGAAATGCTAGTTATGATGATGATGATGATGATGATGATGATGATTTTAAAATATATTTTTATTGATTTCAAAAAGGAAGGGAGAGGGTGAGATAGAAACATCAATGATGAGGCACTGATCGGCTGCCTCCAGCACGCCTCCTACCGGGGATCAAACCTGCAATCTGGCATGTGCCCCAACCGGGAATTGAACTCTGACCTCCTGGTTCATAGGCCAATGCTCAACCACTGAGCCACACCGGCCAGGAGCTAGTTATTATTTTTAAAGTTTCATCAATGGGAATACCAACTGTCAAAACAGTCACAACACAGAATGATTAAATGTAACAGTAGAAACACAGGTAAGATACAGTTAGCCTAGGAAAGACCTGGAGATATAGTTAATTGGAAAGTGGATTGAAATATTGACACCAATTATTGATGCCAAGTCATGACCCTTTCTGTGTCCATGGCTTTTTCTATAAAATGTATGCAGTTCTTTTCATCTCCATAGGAAAATTATAGTTTCTTGTACCTTGACTGTGCTATTTGCCTTGACCAATGAGTGCTAGCAAACAAAACAAACAGAGGCTGGAATTGTGCTTGTGGGCCTGTGCATGTGGTCTTTGTTCCTCGGCTAAGCTATGGGAATAACATGTCCTGCTAACCTGAATGTCTCAGAAGGAATATGAGAGACATGTAGACACATGGAGTTGACACAGGCCCACAGACCTGGAGCTTGAAGCAGAGTTACCACTCTAAACCCAGCTGAGATCAGTCATCCCCAAACTCATGAACAAGAAATAAATGCTCATTGTTGTCTGAAAATTGTTGTTCCGCAGCAATGTTCAACAGACATAGGGTTGATGTTCAAGGATGACCTTTTAGAAGGAGTGATTTGTGAATTGGGCTTTAAAGGAGGTGTAGAAATTTACCAGGGGAAAAAGAGGGGTAAGGATATTCCAGAAGATAGATATGGAGGAAAATAATTCAGAAGAACGCAATAACATGATTTAGCATTTTAGTATTTGGGCTCTATTTAACACATATAAGTTTAATAAAGGAATGATGGAAGAAAAGACAATAGACACAATAAACAAGAAATGCCTGGCATACTATACCAAACAGGCTCCATGACTCTAAGAAGTAAGAGAAAATTAAAATAGTATCTGTTCCCCAAAAGGTGAAAATCCCTTGAAGCAATAATGAAAATGCTAAATTTTTGAGAGCAAAAGCAGAAAAAAAATCACAAAATAAAAGGAAGATAATTCACATTAATTTTTATGCCCAAATTATTTTTAAGCAGATGAATTTTGCAATATCCTAGGCTTCTACCTATAAAAATCCCTCCTCTGACCAATCCATTCCCATCACAAAGCCTGCCCCCCACCCTTTCACTTTATTCTGTATATAGTCAATGAGCTTTTCTCTTTAGGTATCTTAGGGCTTTTAAACAGAACTTCTTCCTTCCTAATTTAAGTTGTAGTAGAAAGGTAATTGGACTCGGAGCTGTTGTTGTCCTGCTGAGCCAATGATTAATTTTGAGTCCTTGAACAAGTTCTTTTATTGCATTGAGCATCACTTACTCATCTACAAAATCAGAGGTTTTGACTGAGTAATCTTTAACATCCCATTTAGCGTTGATAGCCATTCATCTATCCATCTAACAAATATTTCTTGAGTCTACTACATGCCTAACCATGTACTAGATCTTGTTCTCCTCTTGGAGGGAAGAGACGGTCAATAAACAAACTGATAAATGAGAACAATGTCCGACGCTGATCAATGCTCTGCTGAAAAATAAAATGTGATGTGATGTAATTAATAGTGATTTGGTGGCTGCTCTACATTGAATGGATAATAAGACATGGTTTCCCTGAGGAGGCGACATTTCAGTTAAAAAGAAAATGACCAAAAAAGGCATATTTTGTCAGGCTAGGGAAAATTATGTTTATGCTAAATTTTAACTCTCAAGAACTTACTCTATAAATACGGGGGTGGGGGTGGGACCAGGCTATTAGGAGCCATCACTAAATTGCCAAATAACTTATTATTCCCTGATTGGATAGTTCTAAAACGACTGTTCAATGGACCAAACTGCTTGTATGTGGGCAGGGGGCATAGGGTATGCAGAGGAGCAGCACAGTATTGAGGAGGAGGCCTAGGATATGTGCAAAAATCAAACTACAGAGTGGGGGAAGCCTGAGACACAGATGGAAAAAAAGTTTAAATTCCACCACTAGGGGCAGCATAGTCACCTGGAAATATAGAAGGAGCTTTAGAGAGTCTGTCTTTTTCTCAGGAAAATTGAAGTCCAGAGAGGTAGAGTGATTTGCCTAAAGTCACAAGGGCCTATTCTTGCAAGTCGTGTATTCAATTCCTAAGAATCACAAACTTAAAGTAAAGTATGAATCAAGTCTCTGATGGGACTTACAGATTTGAGGTGGGGGAGGGAGAGGAGGCTCCATTATTGCTACAGCTGCCTGGAGGGTAAACTTGCCTGTTGTTACCAAATTTCACTGCTTCTCCATTTTCAGGTTCCATTTGGAGAGACCAGGCTTATTGCAACCCTGACACTCACACTTATCAATTGAAAGCCCTGAAAAGAAAAAAAAGAAAGAAAAATGACGCTGGCCTGCTTACTCCTCTAGCACAGCCCAGTTCCCATTTGGCTTACTTCAGCAGATCTGCGTCCCAGACCTGATTTGTGACTAACTAGGGGGAATCTATGTAGCAGCAGAAAACCGCCAAACTCCTGGAATTACAGTCAGAAGCCCTGTGTTCATCCCCGATGGCCGCCCTTTAATCTTTTATTCCCCGGCCTGCAAAATGATCCTGTCACTTGCCTTGCCTACTGCAAGTGGTTATCAAGAGTTAAGTAGAGACTTTGGGACAGTGTTTTGTATATCAAACAATAAATGTAAAAGGAGATTGGATTACTTACCAATTTAAATTATTAATTAGCTCAGTTGCTTCATTCTTCTGAGTTATAATACACCAGTTTGTTTGTTTGTTTATTAATTTTTTTATTGGTTTCAGAGAGGAAGGGAGAGGGAAGAGACACCAATGATGAGAGAGAATCATTGATTGGCTGCTTCCCACACGCCCCCCACTGGGGATCGAGCCTGCAACTCAGGCATGTGCACTGACCAGGAACCAAGCTGTGACCTCCTGATTCATAGGTTGATGCTCAACCACTGAAAGACACCAGCGGTGCCGGTTTATTTTTTATTTTTTGAGAGGGAATTAAAGTAAATAAACTCTCGGGTCCCTTTCAGCTCTAAGAGCCTATGATTTTATAACAAAATGGTAGCCTGAAATTCTTGAAAAAGTGTCCTCTAGTACTTTCTTTCCTATGGGATTTGCCACTGGCAACCTAACATATTCTCTGGTATGAAAGGGAAGATTCATTACTGGAAAGTTGCCTGACTTAGTTGACATACACGCAAAACTCTAAGAAGCTGGGCCCTAATCAGTTTGGCTCAGTGGATAGAGCTTCGGCCTGCGGACTCAAGGGTCCCATGTTTGATTTTGGTCAAGGGCATGTACCTTGGTTGCGGGCACATCCCCAGTAGGGGGTGTGCAGGAGGCAGCTGATGGATGTTTCTCTCTCATCGATGTTTCTAACTCTCTATCCCTCTCCCTTCCTCTCTGTAAAAAATCAATAAAATATATTAAAAATAAAAAAACTCTAAGAAGCTGGAAAGGGTATTTGACCTCACAGCATCCTTTTTTGGAGCTGAGTGACATGCAACCACAGTTTCTGAATTTATATTGGAAACATAGCTATCAGATAGTTGTATGATGCCTCTTGCAGGACCACCTGATGAACCACTTGAACCATAAATCTAGCTGGTGTACACTATACATCCCCCATGAGTTCATGTGAGATAACCTCATAAAGTCCTCAGGGCAGGATTCTGCAAATCACTGAATTGAATAATTGCTCTCTGAATAGTAGCGTAAACTCATTAGGAGCACATGAGAAATTAACACTCATTCTGAAGGGGAGATTAATTGGCCAATATCCTACATATTTCCAGAGATAATGGGCACCCTGTCAATCAGCAGCCCTTAACATTTTTTTGTCAGCTATTCACTTATATGAAGCAAAATATAAAAAAAGACCTTTTCTCATTTGCTTTTTTCAAAAGGAGGAGAAAAATCACCTTTGTTTAATTGCAAGGAAGTGTTACTGTACAAGAAAATATTAGGGGAAATTATGTATCTGTATCTTAGCAATGGGGGGGTGTGATGTGTAATTTTACTTATAAAATATTTACAAGTTAATATCTGGTTATTTGAAAATTATCAGTGAAAAATCCTGATAAGCATGTATACCACTCTGCATGGTAGATTTATAAAAACAACCAACAAGCAACCTAATTAATAATGATAAGGTAAAACTCATAATATTTCAGAATTGGAAAAAAAAGAATGTCAGCAAATGGCCTGGCCAGTGTAGCTCAGTGGTTGAACATCGACCTATGAACTAAGAGGTAATGGTTTGATTCCCTGTCAGGGCACATGCCTAGGTTGTGGGCTCGATCCCCAGTGGGGGGAGTGCATGAAGCAGCTGATCAATGATTCTCATCATTGATGTTTCTATCTCTCTCTCCCTCTCCCTTCCTCTCTGAAATCAATAAAAATACAGGTTTTTTGTTTTTTTTTTTAAAAGTCAGCAAATGAAAACCATGACCTATTGATGACAGCATTAATGATGCATTGACATTGTCTTATTGTATTACTGATGATCTTAATGTATAAATTGACATTAGGACCTTCACAGGATTGCCAAGAACTGCAGAGCAGAAGAGTTATCAGTATACTAAATTGCATTCACTAGAAATCTCTTGTAATGCCCCAGTTTTCATTTAAGCCAGTTCTATTTACCCTTAGTGACTAACTTAGAAGGTCAGTAGCCATGTGCTACCCTTCACCTCAGAACCAAGGAAAGTTTGTAAACCTAGGAGGATGATGTCATAGTTCCCATTGCAGACTAATTGCTTGATGCTTAAGAGTTCTTATATGCATTTTATGTGGAAGCTTTGGTATTCTGTACAAAACTACATTTTAGTGTAAAATGGATAATTTTCTCTCTTGCTGGATCATTTAAATCTAGAAATTGAGGACTCAAGTACTTGCCAAAGATTATGTTTTCTTTTGAATTATTATTATTATTGTTATTTGTTAATCCTCACCCAAGGATATTTTTTCCATTGCAAAGGGGGGGGGGGAAAGAGAGAGAGAGAGAGAGAGGGGAGAGAGAGAGAGAGAGAGAGAGAGAGAGAGAGAGAGAGAGAGAGAGAGAGATAAGAAAGAGACACATGAATTGATTACCTCCCGTTTGCACCCTGAAGTCGGCTGGAGATTGAACCTGCAATCGAGGTAGGTGCCCTTGACCAGGAATTGAACCCACTACCCTTTGGTCTGTGGCCGCTGCTCCAACCATTGAGCGAACCGGCCAGGGCTATGTTTTCAATTTAGTAATTACCTGAGACAGAGGGAGAAAGGGACTATTACTAATTGCTCACTAAATATCAGGAATTTTTCTACTTGTTACATATGCTGTGCTAAACACTCTGATGAGATATTTATTATTTGTCCCAATTTATTGATTAGGAAGCAGAGATTTAGAAAGTGAATTAATTGGCTCAAGTTTATAAAAGTAGTAAGTCATAGAGCTGGGATTTGAACCAGTATCTTTTAGTTTCAAAGGCCTGTTCTTTTCACATTATTGTTCCTATAAAGGTGACAGATATCCTTCCCTAACATGTAGGACACATAATTTCCAAATGCTTGTGCCATCAGTATGATAGATTTGTCCATAATGTCACCCGTGGTCTGGGGACTATAGCAACCATGGACTGCTGAGCAACGATGAATGGCCAGCATTCAGGTTTAGCACCTGATGTGAGTTTCTTGAGAACTTTTTAAGAAATAGAATATATCAATTCTAGTCTCTCCATGTGACAACACAAGAAAAATATTTTTGTCTTTTTTTTTTTAATAATCGAAGGAATGGAGAACTTGCTGTCATCAATTACTTTTTGGAAAAAAGACCAATGAGAGAAACATTTAGTTTCCTGGGCATGTGATGAAATTTCAAAGCCAGCAATATCACATTTCATCTCCCCTCATCCTATAGGTCCATGCCACCCAAGAAGGCCACTGGAGAATTCTAATGCTTTTGAGAGCAGAATATCAAAGAACAGGCAATGAATAAGTAATAAAAGTGGGGAGAGAGTCTTTAGCCACTTTGCTTTTAGTGTATGGTACTTCAGAGGCAGCTCTACAGTGAAGGGAGGGGAAAATAAACATCTTACTCCTATGAGCACAGCACAGGGAGCTCTGCCAAATAATTTATGTGCATAAGTGTCTATAATTGCACATGTTCATACATATTCATTTCCATGCTCCTAATTTTAAAGAACAGAGAAGTGAATAAATTGATTAGTAATTTGATTGTATTTGATTCAGCTGGCTCTCTTAAGTGCCTTATAAAGGTCCCACAGTAAGTTTCAACTAATGGAGAATTTACTTCAGCCTGAGACCTTGGGGACTGGTAGACTGACTGACGATGGAGTGATTGAGCCATTCATTTATTCAAACATTTTACTTATGTATTTATTCATTCAACAATTATGTCCTAATATGCCTAGGTATTATGCTAGGTATAGAAGACACCCAGATTGATAAGTGATGGGCCTACAGAGTCTATCCTTTATCCTGTGGGGAAGATAGTCAAGTAACAAAGGCATTAATTACAGGATAATGTGGCCAAGTGCTAGACATCCAATACAGGCTGGAATTTCAT